GGCGAGACCCTCGTCCCGGGCGCCCCTCGCAGCCGCAAGGAAGGGGAGGGGGAGGAGGAGGGAGGGGAGGCCGCCGCGCACCTCAAGCTCCCCTGACGCTGCCTCGGCCTCCAGCGCCGCCGCCAGCCCCCGGGGGAGGGGGAGCAGAGGATCGGGGAGGGGGCCCACAAAACGGGCAGGGGGGCCAGGCCCCGTGGGCCCCATGCGTGCTACGGGCCTGCTCCAGGCTTTCCTGGATGTTGTCTGAAAAGTAGTGGGTTCTATGTATGGAGAGGCGGACTACGACATGCTGAACAAGTCACGTTTATTGTAGCACACACACAAGACAAATACTGGCCGGCAAGGGCCAACTATATACACCCACCCCAGACACACCCACAGTCCTACTGGAGGGTTTAAAAGTCTCGCCAAATGTCCAATTGGAGGACTAAAGGTGGCCTAGGATCCTTGGCCCCTGTTGTGTTAGGAACCAAGCTGGGGGTGGAGGACGCTGACCCCTAGTGGTGGTCTGCGGACACAACAGTGCCTCTATCCTAGATCCATTTCAGTCAAGCTTCTGCCCTGGCTATGGGATGGAGATGGCTCTGGTTGCCCTCACGGATGACTTCCGGGGACACCTGGATCGAGGTGGGTTAGCGCTGCTGCTGTTACTTGACTCAACAGTTAAACAAACAGGAATGAGGAGGAATCACAGGCAGAAAACAAAAATAACTCCCCAGAGTTTAAAGCCGACGCTTTCAAATGACTGTACATTTAAAGGAGGGGCAATGAAGGTGACAAATGAGACACCTCAGTCTATCATTCTCTTCTCTAAATTTTAAGAAGGCACAATGAAGGTGACAAAAATGCCACTTCAGTTGTTTATCTCTTCTCTCTATGGCAATGTGATTGAGGATATGAGCCATTTCAGAGCAAAACCTTTCTCAAGAGGTATAGATATCTCCTTCCATAAACAGTAAAATTCAAAGGTGCAATGACGGAGGTGCAATGACCATTATAGGAATAGAGATGGACTCCAATAGCCTGAGGAGAAATCCAAATAACAATAGAACACAATGTAAACGGTGCTTACCTTCATTGTGCCGCCTTTAAATGGTTGCTTGTACTTGGTTTACAGGGGGTTTGTAGCTTGGCAGATTGGAAGGTCTGTGGTTCGGCAGTTCAAAACCCTAGTGCTGTGTGATGGAGTGAGCTCCCACCTCTGACCCCAGCTCCTGCCAACCTAGCAGTTTGAAAGCAAGAAATTGCAAGGAGATAAATAGGTACTGTTTTGGTGGGAAGGTAACAGCCTTCCGTGTGCCTTGGTGTCTAGTCATGCTGACCACATGACCATGGAAACATTCTTGGACAGTGCTGGCTCTTCAGCTTGGAAATGGAAATGAGCACCGCCTCCTAAAGTCAGATTTGACTAGCTTTCAAGCAAGGGAAAACTTTACCTTGTACTTGTTTTAGGGACAAAAAGAACATTAAGGTTTAGAAAGGCCATACTATAGTGCAATGGATAAGGTTAAATGTCACATTTTACATGGATGTTTTAGCTTGTTTATCCTTTTCTGACACAGATGACGGATTTGATGTGGGAAATGATCCTAATTAGAAAATAATAATTTTAGAATTCTATCCCATTGGGTCTCAATGGTTAGTGTAATTTGGGAACCCAAATTATTACAGTTCCTGTCTTTGCACAGAGGAGACCTTCAAACTTCAAGTGGTTATATTCTCAAGAAGGTCGACGCTGCAGGCTGTCCTGTATGTTTAGTTTAGTTTGCTTTTTAGCATTAGGCAACAATGAGAGTCGTACTCGGTATGAATAGGCCATATTTCGTTCAAGAAAACAAATGATGTGTTTCTCTTCTTATGTTTGCAACATCTGCTTTCTCCCCAGGACTTGTTCGTGCATTCCATGAGCTGTTCTTCAACTGTTTCAAACAGCTGCCTGCAGAGAAATCAATCTCTCTCTCTGTTTCTTCTTACTAATATGGAATTTCCTCCTTTTGAAATGATTCCATTCTAGAATCCACAACAGGACAAATACAGTCCTAGGTTGGTTACAGGTTTCCTTGCTAAAATAAACAGGAATGGTATTCCAGTGTACACGTTTGTGGAATAAATATTGGCATAATTTTTGAATGGAATAAAAATGTTTGTCTTTAAGATCCCACAAGATTCCGTGTTTATTTTTCTTGCAACAAACTAACATGGTTATTCTTCAATTATTATTGCTGAGAAAATATAATTTGAAAGGAATGCAGGTTTAATTGGGGTAGAGGGGAGATTGGTTTAGAGTGGTACTAGAGAATATCATCCAGCTCTGAAAAATACTACACAATTCTTTGGGAACTTTTCTCATGTTTTACTAATGATTTCTTATTTTTAGAAGTATTCTGTAGAAGGCTAGGGTTCGGGCTTGAGTTTGGGATGGAAACAGCCTTGGTCACTTTGACTGACAATGTTCATGGGGATACATCCAGTTGGTCAGCCATGTTGGTCTGAAGCAGTACAACAGATTTAGAGTCCAGTGGCATCTTTAAAACCAACAAAGGTTTATTCAAGGTATTTGATAAAGTGTGCATGCACACGAAAGCTCATAGCTTGAATAAACCTTTGTTGGTCTTAAATGTTCATGGGGAAAGTAATAAGGAGATATGTATTCTTATTGATTCTTCTGGATCTTTTGATGGCTTTGTCAAGGTCTGGGGTGCAGGCAGAGGGAAATCCAAGTTCAGAATGGGGTCTTAAGCCAAAAGGAGTGGAGCAGGAACCAAGAGCGAAAGTCAAAATCAAAAACCAGGAGTGAGGTGGTTCAAGCCAGAGTCAGAAGCCGGAGGAGGGTAGCAGGAACCGAGAGCAAAAGTCCAAACCACAAACCAGGAGCAAGGTCATTCAAGCCAGAGTCAGAAGCCGGAGGAGGTCTTGGAACCAGGAGGTGGAGCAAATGCAAGGCGTCATGGAGTTTGATGAGCTTGCTTCCACAAAGGAGCCAGCTTAGAGCCTGAAGCTAAATAGCCCTCTGCTGCTGTTTCCGATTAGTGCAGCGGCACCAGCAGCCAAGCGTCTGTCAAAACTCAGGCCTAACAGACCGTCTGCTGCGCAAACGAGCTACACATCACCTCGTTGCTAAGTCCTGCCAGAGTCAGTCTCGTAAGCGAGCAACTCTCGGGGGCGAGTTGGGAGGGCTTTCCATCTGTGGCTGCTTCTCGTCAACTGTTTCTGAGCCAGGTGCCAGTGCGGGCGGTGATAGCAAATTGCCAATCTCTGCAACTTCAGAGGGGCCAGCTGTGGGTTCTGCTGGAGCTGGCAACGGCCCTTCCTCAGCACCCTTGACAGGCTTTCCATACCATCAACCACAGTATTCTTCTGGAAAAGCTTATTGGATTGGGGACTGGAGGCGGAACTTGCCTTTGGCTCTATTCTTCTTGGCTGGTTGGTTCCACAAGGTGGTGTTGGGAGACAGCTGCTCACCCTATGCTGTTTATTATCTAAATGAAACCACTGTGAGAGTGGTTTAGAGTGAGGTGCTACAAATATCCAGATGATACACATCTCTGTTTCTCACCAGCAACTGAGTCAGATGCATCTATGGAAGCCCACATGGGAAAACCTATGAAAGGATCTTATTATACAAATGAGATGCCTGCAGCTGAAATTTATTCCCTATAGGTGGTAACAGTAGGGATACAGGGTTAGGGTTTGCATGTTAAGGTCAGAGTCAGGACTTCACTTAAGGTTTGTATTGTGTTTTCAGTTAAGGTTAGAGCTTTAGGGTTAAGAATATGTTTCACTATAATTTTTGCTATTAAGAAAATTCAAACTTATTACAGTCAAGACAAGAGCTTTCTCACAAGCCCTGATCTCTGTGTCTTGTGCCTTGGGAGGGGAGGTGGGTGGCGGACCAGAAACAGGGGCTTTTTCAGTGGTGGCACCTTACTGGTGGAATGGCCTTCCCTTCACATGGCTGATAGCTTATTCTCATTTAGGAGTCAGGCCAAAGTATTTCTTTTTACCCAGGTTTTTAATTAAGGGTTGAACTTGTCACACATATATATGTTTTTAAGCCTGCTTCTAGCTTGCTCAGTTTTTATGCTGTTTTAATGTTCATGCTGGTTTTTTAGTAGTTTATTGATTATTTTTATTATGTTTTACCTTATAGAGCCAGTAAGAGGCAGAATAGAAAATTTCAATAAATAAATAAACATGACTACTGTGGGGGCTGAACCCAATTACAAAATATCTGAAATAAATTATTAGGAAGAAGGCAGCTGATTCTGAGAGGTGCTTCCTGCAGATACAAGGCGATGCACCCTAAGTTCTTCCGATGCACCTGCTATTTTAACAAAGTAAAGAAAAGTCAGGGTTGGCTGTTTTGTTTTGGTGAGGACATGTTTCGGGGAATGAGCAAGGAAAAACCTCAGTGGGTGCCACAGCATTTTGGGGACTTCTGTTCTAAGCAAAATCTGCACTCAGGACACTTGCCCCTTCCCACTTAACAGAGCGGCTTTCTCGGTGACCAGCTTGCATCTGCTGTGCCCCTTGGCATGAAAACTGTCATTACCAAGACTTACGTTCCTTTCCTCACCTTCTGTCTTCCTTGTCCTTGAAACGGTCAAAGTCTGACTCCATCTGCATTCAATGCAGGATCCTCGTTTTTCCTTTCAAACCACAGATGACTCATCTTACTGTACTTCGATGTCCTTGTTTCATTCCTGTTGCGTTAGTCATATCAGCCTCATTTGCCCACTGGTTGTATTTTGTCCCGACTTAATCTTCTTTTACGCTAAGTTTCCCGTACATTTATTTGCAAAGTTAATCCCTTGCTGCCACATTCAGGGAAACAAACATCCTAGGGTCAGATGCAACTGTGGGTGAGTCACGTTTTTTTTGTGCTGTCCCCCCCCATGCGCTTAAACAACGAATCGGTGAATCACACCTCCGCACTGAGGGCTCCCTATGGAATTTGCGATGATGCGCATACTGCGAAGGGGGGGGGGACAACAGCACGGAGTTGGGGTGGCCTGATCAGACCATCCTGATGGCCTGAGAGTGCTCTGGAGCGTTCAAACATGGGGAAGTCCGTCCGTGGCCCACCGCAAGCTGTTAACTGCTGGATTTTCCCCAGTGTCTTTTAACTCCACTCCAGACTGCTGCGGGGGACTTCCCAGATGTTGTTGTCTGATCGCGCCCTTTAAATCCGCCCAGCATTCGCACCTATGTCGGGTCTAATTGTGTGTATGATTGCAGCCCTAGGCTCGAACCCACATCCCTGCTGTGGAAGCTCAGTGGGTGACCTTGGGCCAGTCACACACTCTCAGCCTAACCTCCCTCACAGGCTTCTTGTGAAGGTAAAGAGGAGGAGAGGAGAATGATGTGAGCTGCTTTGGGTCCCCACTGGGGGAGAAAGGTGGTTACAATAGCCATCCAGCATCCTTCTTCCAGTGTGATCATTCAGATATCTCTGAACTCTTACAAGGAGAGTATAATGATGGTGACCATCTCCAGCAGTACCAGGAGATATACTGCATCTGGATATAGCAGTTCTGGTTGACATAGCCAATAGCCATTTATGATTATTTTTTAATTAACTCAGCAACTCTCTGCTCACCTAACCCTGAAACGCAGCAGTCAGCTTTGTGGAACATTTCGCTCTAGTGTTAGACTTCCGAGGGTCAGGGAGGGTTGCCAGCCTCCAGGTAGGCCTCCCAGAATTACAATTGGTCTGCAGGCAACAGAGATTAGTTCCTTTGGAGAAAATGCTTTGGCGAGTGGACTCTATAACATCACACCCTCCTGCAGTCCCTTGCCTTCCTCAGGCTCCACCCCCCAAATCTTGAGAAATTTCCCAACCCGCAACTGGCAACCCTGGGTTCCGGTGACCAGGAAGCTGCTCTTCTGGCCCGGGAGTTCCATGGGTCTATCTAGCCAGGATGGTGTAGTGGGAGAGCCAGTCTGCTGTACTGATTAAGTGTGTGGACTCTAATCTGGGAGAACTGGGTTTGATTCCCTGCTCCTCCACTTGCACCTGGCTGGATGACCTTGGGCAAGCCATAGTTCTGTCAGAGCTGTTCTTGAAAAGAGCAGTTTCTGTCAGAGCTCTCTCAGCCCCACCTACCTCACAGGTATCTGTTGTGGGGAGGGAAAGGAAAAGGAGTCTGTAAGCTGCTCTGAGACTCCTTTCGGTAGTGAAGGGCGGGGTATACATCTAATCTCCTCCTCCTCCTCCTCCTCCTCTGGTGTTACTAAGTGAGGGGAGATTTCCCAGCTATTTATTCCTCCATGAATCCTCAAAGGCCCCAAACCTGTGCTTTCTTAATACAGAGCCTTCCTGCGAGTAGTTTCAAGGCAGGCAAGCCTGCCAGCGGCCTGAGCAGTGTTGAGATAGAGTTGCACTTTTGCAGAAAGCAGCTCTTGGTGAGTCCCTTGTAAGCCCCTATTTGTGCAATCATTGGTGCTTAGCAAAATTGCTGCCATAATCTGAGAAATAACGGCAGCCACACGTCAGGCTCACACAGAGAGGCTGGTTTATGGACAAGGTGCTTTTGTGTGTGACTGCTGCTGAAATGCACTTTCATTGGCAGCCCCACGTATTCCAGAAGTGGGCACCATAAAACCAGGTTCCGAAACCATCCCCCACGCACATATGAGGACACAAAAGTGATGCTCATCTTGATCTGTGCCACTGCCAAAGGCCACAGGCAATAAGTTAGGGGAGTAATAAGTGAAGGGGAGTTTGGCTGTACGTGGGCAATAACAACCCGACTGCCCATGCACAGCAGTCTTATTAGGAGAAACCTAATAATGCATGCTTCCTAGCAGTGTCGTGAAGTTAAACGATATCAGAGATGAACAATGCACTATCCTAGGCCATGACTCCGAGGCCTGTGGAGAACTCTCTTCATCAAGCAGCTGTTATCGGGCTGGATGATTGCTCATGGCAGGTCGCTGTCAGATCGCAACTGCCATCACCCCCGATCAGCTTGAGCAAGAAGCATCTGGTCATTACCGCCACTTCATTCATCAAAGCAATTTGAAGGCATCATTTTGCAGCTGCCGAGCATAAGCCACACTACCGCGGGTGTGTGTGTGTGTGTGTTTCATATTTGCATGATATTACAACACAAATCCTTCTGGTGATTAAGAAACACAAAACTGTACAGGATAG